TTATAACATGTTTCGTTTCGAGATGAATTATGTGAAAGATTCCACTTACCTTTCTTGACTTCAGGTTGTGTCCATATTATTCCATTTTGAGGCTAGTGTTGAAACGAAATTGGATTATAATGTGACTCGAGTGGGTATATCTGACTCTTCAAAAGCATAGTTGTAACTGAGGAAAATCTAAACAAAACATGGTCTGACAATTTTATAACTTAATCTTAAAAAAAATAACTTTTTTAAATATCTTATTCTCTAAAGTTAAGTCAGTGACCCATGGAAATATCACACACAAAGTGAAATAACAGAATACGATAGTATTTGCTAAGTATAAAGAACTGCTACACAGAACACACTATTTTTAATGTTTGAAGGCCATTTACGAGTTACATGACAGAGACTTAGATCAAGACTTTGTTTTCGTGAAAAGGAATTTATTAATGTATATAAACGTCGATATAACTCATTGTTTGTTATAATGCACCTTGTTTTTATTCTGATCAGCAGACACTTCATAATTTAGTTTACCTATCTGGAATCACATACAATATTTGTTGTTGCTTTTATTTTTTTTTTCAAAGTAGATTTAGAAAACTGAACTTCTCCAGAGTCAGGGGTGAGCTCCCAGTTTCCCTTTTCTCTCATCTGTTCTTTATTTCCTGAGATTACCTCCATTACTGCGCCAACATCCAGTTATAATATTTAATATGACAGACTACATATTCAGCCTATCTGTGTTAATTCACATAACCATGATTGCAAATATACTAAAGTTAACTACCCTAGATGCCGTACCAATTATTTAATTTTGATAAATCATATTATTGACCAGAACGCTCCACACACGAAAAAAAAAATCGGAGTTCGTGTACATGATATATTCTACCCGTTACTCCACAATCAGTAATACGGTAAAGCTGTGAATTGATAAAATAGGCAGACCAAATTATATAATACGTAACATAGAAAGATATATTTCAGTAAATTCGTTTGCATTAAGACATTATCTCAGCTAATCCAGCGACAGATGTGTCATTGCCAGATGCATGAGATGATTTGATGAATACTTATTATATTAGATTATATAAATTACGTTTTGAAAAATATCTGAGCTAGGAGATAATGCTGAATGTTCGCAGACCCAATGAAGAGCAAGGAAAGGAACCATAAGGAACGTAGGAGGCAATAAGATAAAGAATAAAGGAAGGGCAAGGAATAATAGAAAAAAATATATACATATAAATAAACGGAAGAAAGAAGTATCGCGAAGACAAAGTTGTGCGAGTTAAAGGCAAGCCCTGCGGGGAACATGGGAAGGGGGGGGTAGGGAGGGGGTGGGGAGGGGAAAGCGAGGAGACGGGGGCACGAGGGGGAAGTAGGTGTAAGAAAGAAGGTTTATGAAAATTTAGCCGGGGCAGAAAATTACGAAAGTTTGGACTACGTATTGACGAAATAGTTTGCCAATATCCCGAATCCATGAGGGGGATACGACGGAGGCAGACAAACGTCCAGAGAGAGAAATGAAGAAGTGAAGGAAGATTAACAGCCATACGAAGAGAAGAAGAGGGAACAGTGTGTAATAAAGCAGGGGAAAAGAGGGCAGTGCCAGGGACCACGGCGAGGGAAGTGCGAGGGGAAAGCAAGCCGAGGGGAAGAAGGTATTTCCTTTCATATATACTTTCCAACCTAAAGATTTAGCCAGGGGACTTTTGGGAAAGGGATATCAGTCTGTCGATTTTATTTCTAACCTCTTTTTCCTTTCTCATTTTTTTAAAAATCATCCGCGTTTTGTTCCCTTATCATCAACAAGCATAATTATTACTTCATAATAAATAAAATAAAAAACAAATAGCAAAATGTTTATTTCACCTGAGCATAAAGATCAAGGAAACTAACAGTCTTTCCAATGAACACAATTAGATGAAATTGCTCTTTCTGATTCACAGCTTACGCACCCTGAGTCTTGATGGACTTACTCGTATCAAAGGAAATGACTAAGAACTTCACCCTCTTCTTTGACGGCGCTTTTGCTCGACAGGAGGGTTGAGGAAGGAGTTTTAAACTAAGGGGGGCGGGGGGAAGGGGGCGTTCCTATAAACCAGTCTGTCTATTTCACCTTTTCGTTGGGTTCAGTTGAGCAAGGCTGAGATGATCCTTATTGTCAATATGGTCAGTGCAAAGGTAGTCCTTTTCATCTGCATGGACATAGGAGAGATCACATGTATTACTATTACGTTTTTCATCCACGTGGACACAAGAGAGATCATACACATACACATATATATGTATATGTGTGTGTGTGTCCTTTTTCATCCGTGTGGACACAGGAAGATACAGAAAAGACATGTATTTCTAATGTAAACATAATCGCATTGTATACATAATTTGCGCTATAAAGTCATTAATTCTTATCGACGTCTTGCTCTGCATTTCTCACAATAGATTCTAAGGATTTTTTTTTTATTATTTACTTTTTATCCACGTGGACACAGCAAAGTTTTTTTCTCCCTTTTATTATTCCACGAGGACAGCAAAGGACACTTATTTTATTCACGTGGACACAGAAGAGGTCATCATTTGTATTGAAGCAGAGCAGAGGTATTCTTTTCGATCCAAATGGTTATAGAGTACGAGTATTCACAATAACTCACGTGTTTTTGTTCATTTGCCTTAGAAAGGTAGCCTATTAGTTTTAGTAGAATTACATAACTAGGATAACGCGTGTCCAAGCAGTGTGTTTCATTATATGTTTTGTGTTGCTGGGAAACTTTCATTATGTATTATTCCTCCCTCAGCTGTAGTTTGCTATTAATGTGCTTTTGGGGTATTTTTTAACGCCACAGATTCGAAAAAAGCGGAACCAATCAATAACATGAAATAATGTCAAATATATTTTATTCTGTTAATAAGATATTACAAGCAAGTGTTAAGAAAAAGTTTCATACAAAATGTTATATACAACAAAAATATACAACTTGTGCAGGATTATCCGAATATTTGTCGAGAGTATTTTCGAAAAGGTTCATCAAAGGACGAAACACCATAAGAATCTTCTGTCTTGGAAATGTACAACATTAGGGTTGATATGTTAGCAACAGAACACTGGCATCTAGTTCAGTTTACACCTGTGATTCGGCTCAGAGGCGTGGGTGAAATATTTTCATTGATTTATCTATTTATCTTTATTTTTTTTGTATATAGTCATAGCATTCCATCGGATTTCTCCAAATGGTTCGTTTTTCCTCATTTCTCTTTTATATAAATTATGTATATATATATACAGTAAGTATCAAATAAATCTACTGTTTGCTTACCCATTATTATACTTGATAGTTTAGAAAGAAATATCAAAATAACAACAATAACAATAATGATAACCACTCGAATTAGCATCCATATCACTGAATGCCGACTTCACAGGACACTTATAGTATTATAAACATCTCTTGGTTAATACTATCATCTATATATTTCAACAAACCGATATCAAATTGACACCCCGTTAAAAAAAATAGTAACAATTTGAGCATTGGCGTGTCCAAACCTGTCGCCTTAGCCCAGCGTTATTTGATAAAATGATGATAGCCTATGTTCTTATCTCTAAAGCTTATCCATTTCTAGATTACACTGAACTTCTATTTTTACTTGGGAGATGAGAGGGGGATGAACTCATTCATACTTGCGTATTTAAAAGATTTTACAAGTGCATCTTTTTTTTCCCTTTTTATATACATACATACATACGTACAAACATACACGCAGATACCTAAAGAGCGTCCATATATTCTCTCTCACAGGACGGAAGCATTAAAGCTCATAACCATCAATATTAGTTTTACATGAGGTGAACAATGATTTTATTACAGCTAATACTGGTAAAAGGTACATTAAGCATGGCTTATGTACCTAAAAGATGCAAGTTGTCATTTCATTTTCATGTTTTTTTTTCTTCCATTTTGGCACTCGGAACTATCGCTCCGTACGACAACTTTGAATAATATTAAAGTCATTTTCTTAGTTGTCTTTCCTTGATAGAACAACTTGTTTTTCTTAGTCACCGTTCAATTTATCGAGAGGATAGCCGTTTTCTTTGACGGCGCAGCGAGATTACGTTCTCTTATATTTTAGGCACAAACTTAACTAATACAGGTCTCATCTTTTGCTTGATGATAAAATTGCTTAGTTAACTGGGAGAATCTTGGTAGGAGGTGGTGGACTGAAGGAAACAGGTCTGTAACCCTTGGAGGCGTTGAAAGGAGTCAGCATGCTGTGAGCGAACCTTGCAGGGCTGCTGTCTACTGGTGGATACCCGTTCATCTGCAATGTAGGATCGAGTTAGTTGCTGAAGCACTCATTTCTCTTTTACATTTATCTCTATATTTTTATTGAAAAAAAATAATAATACAATTGTGATCACAATTATTGGTGGTTTCACGTAAAATATTATATCAATATAACTGTCATTAAACACTTAAAACTTGACATAATACGGATGATTCCCTAATAGCCAACGTGACTCTGCGAGAACACTAACCCTGGTGTAGTTATGGCTGAGGGAAGTGTCGGCAAGATGATGACTGGACTGGTGGTGCCGCGCTGTAGATGACGACGACGAGGACCCAGTCTCAAGAAGGTCGACGGAGGCACTGCGATGGACGCCGCTGCTGCCTACGGAGCGTCGGTCATCGCTGGAGTGCCTGCCGAGTGCCACAGTTACGTTAGTATAATTATTGTGTGGACCCTATACATATATCTCATCGCCGTCTCGAATTATGCAACTAAATTACCACAACTGATGCGTTTGCTGCAGATATAAATCCACACAGAAAGAGTATAGGCCTATACGATCAGCGACGAAGACATGTAAACGAAAAGAACTAGAGACTTACTTGGAAAATCTATCACTCTCGTCGTGTCGTTTCATCTTGACGGACACGACGTTTGGCCCGATCACGTGGGCGTTCCCGCGGCAGAAGTCTCGGCGGTAGTTGCTGCTCCTGTTGCTG